AAACAGAGATGTTTGTCCCTTGTGTGCTCGCAACGTCATTGTGGCTCCATTGCGCGCGCTATTTGGTCACAGGGGCCGGGAAACATCTGGCGCGAGCTATTTGGTCGCAAGGGAGGTTTTGTCCCAACTTTGCGTGAAGGTTCTATGCATCTGGCGTGAGCTATTTAAGGTAAGGCTGGCTCGAGCTATTTGGTAGCAGGGGAAACATCTGGCGCAAGCAAATAATCAGGGTTTCTCCCTTCGCCGCTTGCTCTGCGACAAGGTTAATTGAAAGGTTTGGGCGAGGACCTGCACGGACATTTTGCGATGGAAGACTCAAGTGCGGACCGCGGAAAACATCGAGAAAACGTGCTGGGATTGTTTTGCGGGCATTTGGGAACACAAGAACCAATCTCCAGGAGGCATCTCTGAAAACATCAAACCTCGCACGCTGGGAGCTTCAAGCACGCTCTGATTTTAGGACTTTCAAGTTTTGCGGACCGAACGTGTTCAACTAGTATCCCGCTTTTTAGGGACCGAGCGTGTTCAAATAGCTTCAGAACACTGTAGAAGCAAAAACATATCCCTTCGAGGTTTGTCGTATGTCCCCTCTCTTTGTGCTCGTGGGGCTTGGTGAGGGCCATCCCTTCACGCTAGCACTCCTTCTGCGCCCTGATGACCAAATAGCTCGCGCCGTGGCGCGAGCTCTTTGGTCGCTGGGGAAACATTTGTGGTGTTTCAACGCGTAGAAACGCGTTTTCAGGGCTAGTGTTCTGCGCCCAAAAGCCTGTGCTGGTAGTGTAATCGTGGACCTGTAGCCCGACCCCGATTCTCCTGCCTCTGTCTGTCATGCAAGGTGTGGACAACCTGCCTGATGACGCAATGCCTCCTCAGTTTTAAAGTCAAGAATGCGAAACGTGGCCATTATGTCTCCCACCAGCGGAAGGATGGAGACATTGCTGTCAAGCACAACTGCTAAGATATGCTCTTGGCCCTGGTCACACAAGATCAGGGTCATCTACCCGTCTCCTGCCACAGACCGGCAGGGATGACCTCGAACGGGTCTGCAGGCATTGACTCATCCCAAATAAGCCTTGGCCAGGGTCACCAGTCGGATGGCATGATTCCAGCGTTCCGCCATTCATCGTAGCGGGTGTAGGTGAAGGTGAGCTCATGTGGAGTTCTCTGCCTGACTTCCCCAAAGGTCCTACGATTTTGACCTAGGGGCGGGGTGGCTGAGAGGTCTCCACAGGGCGAAGAGGCAAGGTTGGGTCTCGCCCCCCTTGGCTCATTCCTGAATGAAGTTTCCTCTCCCTGCCAGTTCTAGTATCGACCTTTCCTGGGACGGTACATAGGGCTGGGCTGACGAACTTGATTGTCTAGCCTTCTGGCTGGTAGCTTGCAATGAGGGAACTGCACTGCCCCCGTGCCCACACAGACGAAGTATGCATAGGACTTGGTGCACCGGTGGCAACACAGATCTTACTCTCCCTTATTTTATCTGCTATCCTCCTGCCAAAGAAAAGACGTGGTGTGATGGGAGCCATCGAGTGATCCACATGCCGGTGACCTTGGGTCCATTGCTGATGTAGATGTTGGTGGCATAGAAACGATCCAAGTCCCTTGCCACGCTTTGTGCCCTGTCAAGCACCTGTTCTGCAAGGTCGATGCTCACAGTCGACTCCAGATCTTGCAGAACTTCGAACCACTTTTCGGGTAACATGGTGTTGGCCTCACACCAACGCGCATGCTGCTCCGAGGTGAGCTCAGGCTGCTGAATGGCGGCATGAAGTTCAGGGACAAGGGCTGTGTATTGCGAGGGACGAAACATAGGAATTTTGGCACTTCTGGAACACCAGGTGCACTGCTGGAGCTGGTTGCCCCAGTGTGTGCCGTGGACGGTCCGACGGAACGGAACTGCCGAAATGCGCCTTGGTGGTGCACAAGGTGGATGGATGTGCGGAGCGGGGATGCAAAGATATACTTGAAAAGCCGGGCAACCTGGGGACCTGCCTCCCGCTCGGACGTCCTGCCATGCAACCGCCAGGGCGGCCCCGGTGTAGGATCCCGCTGACAAGCCCCTCGGGGAGATCTTTCCTGAAGCGCTTGACCACACACACCGGGGCGACACCGGGGGGTGTTGGGGCGGCGGGGGGTGCAGCGGTTGCAGGGGTCTCAGGAGACGCCATCACCTGTCGTAGACTGCCAGGTACCAAGCAATTACACAGTGCGCGCACCAGTGGTGGTTGTGGTTGATGCGGTACCTGATACAACCGTTACGGCCACACTGCCGACAGAGTTGCTGACAGGCCGGGATGGCAGGATCCTGCTCGACAAGCGGCTCTGGCGCTGCGCGGCGTCCGCACGTGGAGCCCATGGAAGGCTAGCAGAGGCTGATGGCCAACAGAAGGAAAGCCACACCCAGGCAGAAGCCGGAACAAAAACACGCGCAGGGGCGATTGGCAGGAGTGACCGGCCCAGGGGCGCCCAAACACACAGGCGATTCGATCGCCGCTTGCCCGCGGAGGCGAGCTCCCATCCACTGCCTGCTTCACGCAGGCAGCTTGCACAGGGCCTAAGGCCAAGGTTAGAAGCAGGGCCTGTTTGAAGCAGTACCTGTTAGAGCCCCAGACCCCGTTTCACACACACAAATTTTTCGCACGGTGCAATGAGCCAGTGCTGCACTTCAAGGAACACACATAAGACAGCCACATTACCCGTAATGTTGCATCCAAATATCATGGCAGGTTGCTCACTAAGGCACATCACTATCACTTTGCATTCGCTGACCACGGAGACATGCAGGCCATGCGACAGGCAAGTGTTGGACATGTGAAACTCAAAGCATCAAAATAACTTTTGGCTTCAAACAGCGAACAAACGGCATTCCGTATTTTCGCAAGGCATTATTGGAAGCAAGCGATAAAACACAATTCGCTCGCGAACAGTAAGCACTACTACTACTACTACTACTACTACTACTACTACTACTACTACTACTACTACTACTACTACTACTACTACTACTACTACTACTACTACTACTACTACTACTACTACTACTGCTACTGCTACTGCTACTGCTAACAACAACAACAACTACTACTACTACTACTACTACTACTACTACTACTACTACTACTACTACTACTACTACTACTACTACTACTACTACTACTACTACTACTACTACTACCACTATACTACTACTACTACTTCTACTACTGCCATTATTATTAACTTTTTCTACTACTATTACTACTACTAGTACTACCACTACTACTACTACTACCACTACTTCTGCTACTGCTACTACTACTACTACTACTACTACTACTACTACTACTACTACTACTACTACTCTCCTACTACGACTACGATTACGACTACGACTACGACGCTACTACTTCTACTCTGCTATTAGTATTACTCCGACTTCTACTGCTTTTACTACTGTTACTCCTCCTACTACTACTACTACTACTACTTACTACTACTACTACTACTACTACTACTACTACTACTACTACTACTACTACTACTACTACTACTACTACTACTACTACTACTACTACTACTACCACTATACTACTACTACTACTACTACTAATACTATTAATACTACTACTACTACTACTACCTACTACTAATACTACTACTACTACTACTACTACTACTACTACTACTACTACTACTACTACTACTACTACTACTACTACTACTACTACTACTACTACTACTACTACTACTACTACTACTACTACTACTACTAGGCGTCACGTTCTTAATTGATCGCAGGGGTTTTGTGGCGTGCAATTTTCGTGTTAAGAGACGCGAGATCACCGCAATGGCTGGTGTTGGTTGCCACAACCTCTGCCGCCTGACACCAGACGGTTCCTGGCCTTGCAGAGCACGCGCGAAACACTCTGAGCATGCTGAGGTCCAGACATGGATGCATGTCAGTACAGCACTTGAACACCGCACTCGTTGAAACTGCGAGCAATCCCGCACAGCGTCTTCCTGGCGCGCCCACTCCAAGCCCTCTCCATGTGCCGCCCTCTCCAGAGCCCTTTCGGGGCCCCTTCATGGCGCACCACTCCAAGCCCTCTCCCTGTGGCGCCCTCTCCAGAGCCCTTTCGGGGCCCCTTCATGGCGCGCCCACTCCAAGCCCTCTCCATGTGCCGCCCTCTCCAGAGCCCTTTCGGGGCCCCTTCATGGCGCGCCACTCCAAGCCCTCTCCATGTGGCGCCTTCTCCAGAGCCCTTTCGGCACCCCTTCATGGCGCGCCCACTCCAAGCCCTCTCCATGTGGCGCCCTCTCCAGAGCCCTTTCGGGGCCCCAAGCCCTCTCCATGTGGCGCCCTCTCCAGAGCCCTTTCGGGGCCCCTTCATGGCGCGCCCACTCCAAGCCCTCTCCATGTGCCGCCCTCTCCAGAGCCCTTTCGCGGCCCCTTCATGCCAAGCCCTCTCCATGTGGCGCCCTCTCCAGAGCCCTTTCGGGGCCCCTTCGTGGCGCGCCCACTCCTCGCCCTCTCCCTGCGCCGCCCTCTCCAGAGCCCTTTCGGGGCCCCTTCATGGCGCGCCCACTCCAAGCCCTCTCCATGTGCAGCCCTCTCCAGAGCCCTTTCGGGGCGCCTTCATGGCGCGCCCACTCCAAGCCCTCTCCATGTGGCGCCCTCTCCAGAGCCCTTTCGGGGCCCCTTCATGGCGCGCCCACTCCAAGCCCTCTCCATGTGCCGCCCTCTCCAGAGCCCTTTCGGGGCCCTTCATGGCGTGCCCACGCCGCCCTCTCCAGAGCCTTCGGGGCCCCTTCATGGCGCGCCCACTCCAAGCCCTCTCCATGTGGAGAGCCCTTTTGGGGCCCCTTCAATGGCCCACTCCAAGCCCTCTCCATGTGGCGCCCTCTCCAGCGCGCCCACTCCAAGCCTCTCCATGTGCCGCCCTCTCCGGGGCCCTTCATGGCGCGCCCACTCCAAGCCCTCTCCATGTGGCGCCCTCTCCAGAGCCCTTTCGGGGGCCCCTTCATGGTGCGCCCACTCCAAGCCCTCTGCATGTGCCGCCCTCTCCAGAGCCCTTTCGGGGCCCCTTCATGGCGCGCCCACTCCAAGCCCTCTCCATGTGGCGCTCTCCACAGCCCTTTCCACTCCAAGCCCTCTCCATGTGTGGCGCTCTCCAGAGCCCTTTCGGGGCCCCTTCATGGCGCGCCCACTCCGGGCCATCAGGGTCCTCGACGACGATGGCGCCATCCTGAAAGTCTGAGAGAGCGATGAGGAAATTCAAACTGCCCTCCGCATTATGCACATCTTGATGCACAGGTGCTTCAAGGTTCTGAAAAATGGCGATGGAGCTAAAAGTATGCAGGGGTGCGAAATGGCGCACCAGCGCGGTGAAAACACGGGCCGACTGAGGATAGTCTCTGAAAGAAGCCGTGAGGCCCACGTTGTTGGAAAACACATAAGCCCCCACCACAAATGTCTTCCCCGGCCCGGTCTTAGCGGAGCGGCGGGACTTTAGGGCGGGAAGCCGGTCGAAAACTTCACAAGCTTGCTGACGGCTCAAAGGTGTTCTTTGTTGAAGAAAAGAAGAGGCTAAGGCCTCTGCAGAAGAAGGCAAAACTCCCCCGACTTCACCCGTGGACCGGGCCAGAGGGCCGGCTGCCTCCCCCGCGGGGGGTGGAGAAGGCTGGCCATCCTTTCAATCCTGGTGATTGCATTCATGGAAAGGGCGAGAACGACCGCAGCCCTTCTTCCAGCAGAAGCAAATGGGACTCCAAGCCCTCTCCATGTGGCGCCCTCTCCAGAGCCCTTTCATGGTGCGCCCACTCCAAGCCCTCTCCATGTGCCGCCCTCTCCAGAGCCCTTTCGGGGCCCCTTCATGGCGCGCCCACTCCAAGCCCTCTCCATGTGGCACCCTCTCCAGAGCCCTTTCGGGGCCCCTTCATGGCGCGCCCACCCCTGTCCATGTGGCGTCCTTTTGGAGCCCTTTCGCGGCCCCTTCATGGCGCGCCCACTCCAAACCCCTCTCCATGCGGCGCCCTCTCCAGAGCCGACCTTGAGCATCCTTGAGCAAGAGAGCCCTTTCGGGGCCCCTTCTCCAAGCCCTCTCCTTCATGGCGCGCCCACTCCAAGCCCTCTCCACGTGAGCCCTTTCGGGCCCCTGCATGGCGCGCCCACTCCAAGCCCTCTCCATGTGCCGCCCTCTCCAGAGCTCTCCAGAGCCCTTTCGGGGCCCCTTCATGGCGCGCCCACCCCTGTCCATGTGGCGTCCTTTTAGAGCCCTTTCGCGGCCCCTTCATGGCGCGCCCACTCCAAGCCCTCTCCATGCCCTCTCCAGAGCCCTTTCGGGGCCCCTTCATGGCGCGCCCACTCCAAGCCCTCTCCATGTGGCGCCCTGGGCCCCTTCATGGCGCGCCCACTGCGCCCTCTCCAGAGCCCTTTCAGTACCTTCATGGCGCTCCCACTCCAAGCCCTCTCCATGTGGCGCCCTCTCCAGAGCCCAAGGCCCCTTCAGGGCGCCCACTCCAAGCCCTCTCCATGCCGCCCTCTCCAGAGCCCTTTCGGGCCCTTCATGGCGCGCCCACTCCAAGCCCTTTCCACGCCGCCCTCTCCAAAGCCTTTCGGTTTTTTTTTTTGGACTGACGCCTCTTTACTACATCAGTAGCACAGTAGGCCGGTCTTGTTGGGCTCGACGTAAAGGGTGAAACAAAGTCAGCGCACACAATCCGCCAGACACACCAAGCAACCACCAAGCAAACAAACACCAAAGAAACAAAGCGAGCAACCGCGCTGAACTACTAGATACCCCACGGACTCAGTACTCGAAGTCGTCAATGAAGTCCCGGTTCACAAGGAAGCACAGAGCTTGTGGGGGAATCGCAAATTGCGACATTGCCAGATTCTCAAAACCACCATCATGGAGCCACTGGTGCGACAGCGGTTATTCAAACCGAGGTCATCAGAAGAGGTTCGGATCACGTACTCGTTGTCAAGGACAGACAACCGACACTCAATGGCGAAAGGATGTTGCAAGTCAGACTCCCTAGGGGGGATGAAAGATGTGCATATGCCCCATGGTGGTCAGCCAGTGGGGACTTAACAGCAAGAACAATCAAGGCAAGACCGGCCCAGGGCACTCCATGGTGGTCAGCCAGTGGAGTAGCTCCGAGCTCTGGGTGCTCCATTCACATTGGCGTACAAGTGCCCACCCAGTGAGGTGTCCGCACCCGGCACAGGGGGCATATGCCCCATGGAGGTCAGCCAGTGGGGACTTGACAGCAAGAACAATCAAAGCAGGACCGGCCCAGGGCACTCCATGGTGGTCAGCCAGTGGAGTAGCTCCGAGCACAGGGTTCTCCAGTCAACCTGGCGTACAAGTGCCCACCCAGAGAGGTGCCCGCGCACGGCCAGAGGGGGCGAGAGTAGCTGCAGCTACCGATTCCACGGGGAGAGTCCACAGCGAGTTACCAAACCCTTAACGCCACAGGGTTTATAATGACAACGAGGAACCTCCCAGTCCAGGCATCTCACACCTTGGCGCTGGCCTGCGCGTCGGCACGCATCAGGTCCCTCCAAACCCAAACCCGCGAGGTACGTCGGTATGGAGATGGGAGGGCTCACATCACATTGGTGCCGAAGTGCAAGGATCTCCATGGTATTACTACTTTGATCCAATCAGGGCCTTCAGGTAACATCCACGCGGGCGGGGAGCCCACTTGCCCTGCCGCAGGCCAAGCTCAGACGAGGGTGACCCTCTAGAGTCTCAAGAGGGCCAGGTTGTTCTACAAGTGGGGAATGGCTCCCTGCCAAGTCAGCGGGTGCAAATCTCCACGTAGAAGTGTCCACAGCCAGCGCGCCGAACTGCTAGGTCACCCTGTGCACTCAGTACTCGAAATCGTCGAAGAGGCCGGGAGCACACATGTAGCACCGAGTGCGCAGGTGCGTCGGCGACGTTGCCAGATTCACAAAACCACCATCATGCAGCCACCGATGCGACTACATTCAGCACCAGCCAAGGCCGTTCACGAGAAGGTTCACAAGTCCGCCCTCACAGGTGGGGCATAGTCGTGCCTTGGCACGGGACGTTGCAGGTGTCAACCTTCTTGATCCGAAGTATAAAGTTGCCCCATGGTGGTCAGCCAGTGGGGACTTAAGGCAAGAACAAAGGGTAGGACCAGCCCAGAGCACTCCATGGTGGTCAGCCAGTGGAGCCTCTCCGAGCATAAGGCGCAACGTTCTTTTGACTCACAAGAGTCTCGTCCGACGGCCAAAGCAGGCTTGACTGCTTCGTTCCAATCAGAGCCATCAGGTAAACCCAAGCAGGCGGGGACCCCACCTGCCCCGCAGGAAGCGGGAGAGTCCCCCAGTCGAAACTTCGCACTCAAGGCCAAGCAACTATCTCCTTGGCCGGCGAGGGTTGAGGGTTCAATAACCAGAATCAGACCCTCCATGCCCAAACCGACAGACGTCGGCGAGGAGATGTGAGGGCTCACATCACGCTTGGCCACCTACCGATGGGGAGGTAGTCATGTATGGCTGCTTTGACGCAAGCAGAGATATACACCCAAGCAGGCAGGGAACCCCGCAGCAACGGGTTTTGGATCTCTCCGTTAGGGCTGCAAAGACTCATGTTTCCATTTTTGTTCACCATGCTGAATCCGGCGCGGTACAACTTCCCAACTGCAAGAAGAGGTGTGGTGATGTGGGGAGCAACCAAGAACGTTTCGGTGAATCCAGGCTGATCACCGAAGCTCAGCTCAGCTCGCCTAGTCCCGTGAACTAGCAGCTGATTCCCCTGGGCATCTTGAAAACCTTCCCATGGCCTTCCAGAGGAAACTCCAAGCATGCTGAGGTTTTGCGGTAGACAAGAGGCGTCAGCACCTGAGTCAATTATGACTTCGATCTCCATGCCATGCTCGGCATTCTGCTGGACCATGCGCACTGATCCACTGGTCGAGGTCACACCCGAAGTGTGCTCAACCACATCACGCTGACACACGCCCGAAGCGTGCTCAGCCACATCACGCTGACACACGCCCGAAGCGTGCTCAGCCTCGCTCTGTGCATCACTCGGCAATGCATTGTGGAAAACGCACCACCTCGATGGCACACAACGTGAAAAGATGCTCAGTGCCTTGCAAAAGAAACCCGAAGCTTCCTTGCTTTGCCTGTCTACTTTGTCTTGGCTCTCCACACAAGAATCACAACCTGACACCATGCGGATCTCACCTCCGGCTGACTCATCAAAGTCATCGAGGTTGTAGGTGACTCGTCTCACCTGGGGCTTTGCAGCAGGTTTCGCCTTGGCAGGGGCAGCTGACACGGCTGTGTCAGCATGTGCAGCGCTGCTGTCAGCAACAGCGGCGTCTTCAACCTGTCTGACTCGCTTGGATCGGCAGTCTCGGGCAAAGTGACCCTTTCGGCCACAATTATGACAAGTTTTGTTTGCGGCAGGGTTAGGGTTTGTGCTGGGCGGAGGCCTGGACTTACCATCCCCTTTCTTACCATCACCCTTACCCTTCTTACCCTTGTCATATCTGCCTTTTTTACCACCTTTATCTCCCTTATCACCCTTCTTAGTCTTGCCTTTGCTTAGCCTATCAATCTCCTTTTGAAGACGGTCGATTTCCATTGGAACGGCTTCACTGGATGCTGCAGGCGCATTCACAAGCACACCACCTTTGCCCTCTGACAGGCCATAAGTCGCTGCAACAGACGCACTCCACTTTGACGAAGAAGCATCATATCGAGCAACCAAACTTCGCAACTCGGCATATGTCCAGGAGTCTTCCATGGTCAAGTTCACATGCTGACGAAGTTGGCCTGTTAAACATCTCAGAAGCGAAACAACCTTCTGATCATCGGACATGGCCTGCGATGCAATCGAGTCATACTCTGCCATCGCCTGCTCAAGCCTAACAACTTGAGTCAGGAGGCCTTGCTTGTTGTCGAACACAGGCCAATTGTGGATTGTCTGCATGAGGGCCAAGGCTCTGGTGCGGGATGAAGGGCGAAGGTCAAGCGAGATCAAGCGGTATGCTTCGTACCCGTTATTGTCAGACACAGTCTTAAGAAGACGCTTCAGACGGTCGTTCAAAAGCGATGCAAGCAGGCCATACATGATGCGTGACCTGTCGAGCTCAGTGGCGCTCAGCTGTGCAGGGAGAACTTCAGTTTTCGGGTTCGATTTCAAGCGAGTGAAGTCCACCTGAAACTCCTTATCTAAGGTTCCCAAATACTGCTCAAACTCCCAAGACCATGCTGGCCACTTGATCAGCTCCTCATCTCGGGTCTGACAAGAAAAGGTTGAAGGATGCCTCAACACCTTGCTCAGGTCTTTGGCCGCTAGACCTGAGTAGGATGTGGTCGCAGCGGCTGCTGCGGCGCGGGATTCAGACTGGCTCCTCAGAAGCTCGGTCAACACTTGCTGGTTCTGCTGCATTCCTGCAAGAATCTCCAAAAGACGAGTCTCACCATCTGTTGGACCGGCGCTGCCGGTTGGGCTGTGGACAGGGCTAAGTGCTGGGCTTGCTAGCGGATGTGGCCCAGCTCCATTCCCGTCGGTCATCACTCCCAATCTAAGGAAGTCTCGGATGCAATGCTCGTGTCACTATCTAGATCGTACTCCACTCCAGACGGACCAAGGTTTCTGCTGAAACTGGATGACGATGCTGGATCAGTGGATAACTGAAACTCCACTCCAGACGGACCAAGGTTTCTGCTGAAACTGGAGGACGATGCTTGGAAATTTCTCTCACGCAAGATTTTCTTAGGCTCAAAAGTGAGAACGGTGAAGACTGCTGCAAGGTATGCTTCAAGCAGGGCTCGCTCACCACTCAACAACTTGCAACCGTAAGCAATAATCTCTGGCGCGTTCTGGATCCCTTTCAGTTCGGTTTTCTTCTCCTTCCGCCTCTGCAACTGTCGACGTTCGAAGCTCAGGATGCTCAAGGACGGAGTGCAAGGTTTGCCACACTGAAGCTCGATGTACCACTCAAGAACAGTTTTGCGAAGCTTATCCAACACTCTTTCGTCGTCCCAAAGCTGAAAACACTGAATCTGCTCCTCAAGTTCTGGTGACACCTCCGTGGCTGGTAGGTGACAACACGAGTCTCGAGGAGATTAGGCTGGCAACCGCCTAGCCTTCTTCGGCAAGGCAAACGAAGGCTATGGCTGGAAACTACGGCAGCAACTAATGGGGTTTGGGTCCTGACCCCGGGAGGTAAGGGTCCTGCCTCCCTGAGCACAAGTGAATCCGAGGCCCCAAAGGCTGGATCACAAGCGCTCCGCTACCATGAAAACTTTTGATACTCACGAGCACAGCTGCATCGGCACATGACATGAGACATGACTGTAAAGCTTCTGGGCAAAACAAAACATCCCACCACAAGAAATCTTCACAAGGAAAATACATGGTTAAGAGTCCCATGTAAGACATCGAAATCGTGATCACATCAAGTGCATGCTTGATGTGCGCCAGAATGGTGTTGGAGCCAGGCGTGCCCAATTGCTGGGCTTCATCTCGGAGGAGCAACTCAACATCCTTTAGACGGTTAATGAGCTGCGAGTAGGGAAAGCTAAGCCTTGCCACAATCGTACCATGTGTCGTGGCTACAAGTAGCCCCCGGTACAAATCGTGCACATCAAAAGGGAGCTTATGTGTGTCCTTCTCCTTGTTACCCGGTATGCGAACGATGCGGCTGCGAACAAATTCATTGCTAGCAGTCGTGAGCCTATCAACCGCTTCGACATAGGCCCGAACCGATTCATTGCCATGAGCGGTGTACAGGGTGAGCCGGCTCGTCAGGCACGCAAGGAGTACTCCTAGAAACGCGCAGGATCGTGTCTTCCCGCTGCCGGGCGCACCCGTTATGAATACAGAAGTACGATTAGCGGCCAGGCCGTACGAGCACGCTCCCAGCAGCGCTGCCAGGTGTCCGTCCGCCCCCCAAAAGGTATCACAGAGGCACGTAAGGAAGGCGGGACCAACCGCGAGCGCAAAGATGCTGGCTCGAGTCCTCGGATCGTGCTCGTTGCTCAACGAGTCATGGGACAGGCGTAGACACTCCGCATGCCACAGCGCAGGAGTCCGGGCGTCCTCTTGGCCGGGCAGCGGAGAGTCAGGCAGCGTAGCTAACACGCCACTCAGCAGCGTTGGCGTCCATTCTTTGCGATAGGATTGTTCCTCCGCAAGCCAAAGGTTGAGGAAGCTTTGCAAGGGGTTGGAAGCCCCCGGACCCGCAGTAAGCGATGCCTGCGCAGCTTGCGTTTCGTGCTTGCCTCTGAAGACTTGGCAGACCTCCGGGTGAATGAGCTGTGCCCATGTGTCGCGCCAGTTCCCTCTCACCACTAGCCCGATAAGGAGGACAAGCACTAAATCTGTGAGAAAGCCCGGCAACCGCAGTGGCTGCCGGATGGCATCAAGAGGCGAGTCTTCTAGCGGAACGCCCAATGCAACATGCTGCCTTTCCCTAGGCATGTGTAACAGAGCATCCCAAAGCGGGGTAGAGGCTCCTCCGGGCAGAACCTCAAGCTGGCTGACTCTCGGCAGTGAGGGTCGTTGCGCGAATTGGTTGTGCTGTTCATCAGTCAAGAGCAGGGCAATGGTTATATTGACTGGCTGCATGGCCTTACTTTCTCCAGGGCCGGTGAAAAGCTTCTTCGGGGCAAGGAGCTCTATAAACATGCCTGGGTAGGCCACATCCCCCTTGTCTTCTCTCAAGGTAACCAGCAAAGCAGTGCCCTTGGCCGGCACTTTACCAGCGACAGCAAACCACTTTGTAGCCCAGTCAGGGACATCCGCCAACTCCGGTGTAAGGAGCATGACCGATGCCCTTGGGTAAACTCGATGGAGAAGGCAGATTGGCCATGTATGCGTGCCGGGCTTTATCGCCACAGGGGTGGCGGCCCGCTTGACCGCAGCTTGCTCTGGGTAGTGATACTGTTCCGAGGGCTCCTCCTCGATTTCTGCTTCCGAGGCCATGGCTAAAAACTGATAACCCAGCATGTCAACCAGGCGCTCTAACGACAGGTGGGGGAGCCACATACCCAAAACTAGTTTCATCGTGGGACCAAGTTCATGATACGGGGGCGGCAAATCAGCCAGATGCGGCTTGGCATCCGTCAGGAGGACTTGGGTACAGTCAGCACGGAGACTTGCAATGCTCCGGTTCTCAGCGGAAGGTATCCGGAGAAAAGCCTCCAGATCGGGGCGTCTGATTTGCCGTCCCAGCACGGAGTTGATGAAAGTTTTAGACTTATCCGAAAGCTGGACAGAGCCACACGCAACCCCCATCAAACCTGCTCGCACTGTGCGATCCATCCGGGGGTCGGCCAAGCCACAAATCTTTTTAGTCAATTCCTTATGCACATAATCCCCCGGCGTGAGCTGGAATAGCTCTTCACTGTGGACAACGTGACCATAAGAGTGTCCACCACTGCCAAGTGACTCAGGTCCAGTGAAGTAGTAGAGACGCGCTCCCGCGCCAATCGCTTGCGTCCTTGCTGCCTGGCTGGGCCGGAAGATACAAAGCTGGTCGCTCTCATGATGGACAAGACTAACAGCGTGCCGCAATTCCGAACCCAGGATATATTGCAGCATGGCCCGTGGCATGGCAACGCCGCCCAAACGTGCCTTGATGTGGACAAAATCGCCCTTGCAGTCAGGAAGCTTTTGGCGCTCATGCCAAGCGATAGCCACAGCAGCGCCCGTATACGACCCAGCAGAGAACCCCGTAACGCACAGTTTGCACTCGCCAGCTCTACCCGCGGCGAGGCCCACATGCAGAGCGGTCAGCGCAGCAGTATGTGGCATGTGCAAGTGAGCCAGGGCAGGGCACATTGTCAGGGAGGCTTCTACCGAGCTGATTCTAGCACGAACCGCCGCTGGCAGACCGCATCCTTCGACCTGAGGGTACAGAGCACGTGCCCATAGCTGGGCGGCTTGGGGCAGGAGCAACAATGCATGTGCGGCATTACCGCTGGTCGAAAGCAACAACGGGCGTTGTGTGTCCTCATATCGGACCTTTTGGCCCTGGTTGTCCCGGACTGTTTCCATTTCTAAGCCAGTGAGTGCATAGGAATTGGCTGTGTGAATGATGCTACCCGACACAGTGGGGGGCGTATTCTCGGCCTTCCCATTCATCCCGCTAATGAAGAGCGACCGACATTCCCCTAAGGGGGTTAGGTGAGGCTTTGGAGGCGGGTACTGGTAGGCAGGAAAGGCAAAGGCTGCCAGGGCTTGTTGCACACGCATGGCTAGTCCATCATCCCAGTATTGACTGAGGCCCAACGGCGTGACCTTTATGTCTGCGGCGAAGAGAGGCCACGGCAGATCCGCCTGGGCCAGCCAAGCATGCGCAGCGGCAGCAAGAAGAGCAAGCGGCATTGGGTCGACTGCGCCATTTCGGGGTGGCCCTGCAGGAAGATAGGGCATCTTTGTTCCAAAACATGAGGACCCCAGGGAAGAGCTGGAGCCGCACTGGTCCACTGCCCTTTCGGCACTTCACTGGGCATGATGACAAGCTGCAGGGCTCGGCTCAACGCAGTACCAATTGAGGTCACCGCACTAGCGACGTTGCCAGGGATGCAGAAGCGAGGGGCCGGGGATGTCTGCCGTCCGGAGCATTCGGGTAGAAGAGGACCAATCCCCCATTTGCTTCGAGCTGGTCCTCGGACGCACAAACCATGCCAATTGAGTTTGGCGATCGGGCCCCACACGGTATGGACCCGTCCGGCGAGCAACTCCACGGCGAGGCTGGAAGCGAGCCACAGGGCTGTGTCTCGTCCGTCTCGACTTCCATACTGCCCAGTGACTCCGTCGAGAGGGTATTGGGCAGTAGATCGAGGACTGCAAACCTTCGCAGCTCTTCTGCCTCCCACCTGGCAGTGAACAAGGTGTCATGGTCAAGCAACATCAAGACCACCCCTGGCGCAAGGACTCTGAGGACTGCCAGAATTTCGGGCCCCGCCCACGTAAAGTGCACAGAAGCTAGCCCCGCTTCCTTGGTGTTAACCAAGATGGGAAACCACCTCTCCTTAAACGGGCCTTCCCACTGCATGCGTGCTACCAAATGCCGGACAAAGTAGGGGAAGTGCGGAATGGACAAGAAGCAGCGACTATCCGTGACTAAGAGCAGGACATGGGCTCCTGCGGACTCAGCAGCCCGGAGCTGTGGAAGTAGGCAGCCGAGTAATGCATTGTAGTCAATCTCTGGGTGGAGACCTTGCGGCTCAGGCGGTTCGCCGGAAATGGCTCCCGAGGCCAGTTTCAATGGCAGTACGCCGCTAGGGGTGGGCTCAGGGAAATTCTGATTACTTTCTAGTGCCTGCGCGAGATCCTCAGGCTCCTGAGGCCCCGGCGCATGGTCAGCACTGAGAGTGCGAAGCTGGCATATAGCCTGCATTGCGGTCGCCGCAAGGACCTGTGGACCTGGGTGGCTAGGGACCTGCCAAGGTGGCAGGTCGGCTGCAACTGGCGCGGGAGGTGGCCTCCCATGTGGAATTCGCGGCTCGATCCTACTGACCTCACTCACTGGGTATTCTCCAACACGTGGAGGAATCGGCGGT